TCTTAAAATACCTTTTTATTATTTACTCATTATATATATCTAGTCATTTTAATTTTATGTCCTCCAAAACCCTTCTCTTTTGAAATTTGTAACTCCCAAACAAGAGGAGAGAATCCCTTCTCATCTCCCTCCCCTTCCCTTCCCTCTACTCTCCTTCAAAGCCTTTCCCTTCCCTCACCCTCAAACTCCCAAACACACCCTTAATGTTGGCAATATAATTTTGCTTAAGGTTTTGTTCGATTTATTGGTGTTTTACTCAATATTTGCTTAATTTTTTTGCTTAATTTATTTGTTGTGTGGGGGTATGGTTTTTGCATAATTAATATGTGTTGATTTCAAGGATTTGTTGAGAAAAATTTACTCCACTTATGCAAGTACTCCCTCCGTCCCAAAAAGTACTTCCCATTTTCCTTTTTGGGTCATTCCAAAAAATACTTTCCACTTTCCTTTTTTGGACAATTTTTGTGGCTCACATTCATTTTACCTTTTTCTTACACAACTACAATCATACATTTCCACTTTATTCACTTTCTTAATAAGTGTGTCAATTCAAACCGGGAAGTATTTTTTGGGACGGATCGAGTATTAATTAATTAACATGAGAACGGTTTTGCTAGGTGTACACAAAATGTGTACACCTTTTTTGTACATTTGTCTGTCCCCACTCCCCCGCAGACAAGTTGTTTGTCCACAGACAACTATACAGAGGTGTCTGTGGACAGAAAACTTGTCTACGGGGAACAGACAAGTGTACAAAAAAAGCGTACACATTTTGTGTATAATAATCCCAACTATTACCGGTTCGCTATTAATAATCCCAACTATCGATTATTCCTGGGTGGTCCCAACTATAGGGAGCATTTTCCAAAAATAGTCCCTAACCTGCTACAACCTGGTATAACAGGTCAAATTTAAATGCGAACTATGCATAAACTCTAAATAATCCCAACTATAGTTGATCTTCTTTTATTAATCCCAATTATCAACTCTCAATTTTAGAAAAATATAAAAAAAATTATAATTTTTTAAATTAAATATGTTTAAACATGTAAAAATTATTATGAAAATTCTACAAATGTACCAAAGTTAAATAAAATAGTTTTAGTCATTTTTTATTTATTTTCGCTATTTTTTTTCTTTTTTCCAAATATTATTTCCAGTTATGTGAACAAGATATGATTTAGTATTATTTTCCTTTATTCAATTTTACAATTTATGTTTTCAAAAAGCAAGATGTGACTAAATTTTTTATGATTGAAATCATTATTCTAGTTTTTTCATAAAAATATATTTTATTTAAATTTTATGCTATGTTATTTCTAAAAATCTAAATTCTCTATTTTATCCATTTTAGTATTTGTAATTTCTTCTATTTTTTATATTATTATATGAAATAGTTTATCGTTCAATTTTTGTGATTTGAGGTATACGTTTTGGAGGTTTTGGCTGTTTTTAATGAAAATGTATTATTATTGTAAATTTAAATGATATAATGGAAATTGTAAAATATGTAGTGATGGAATATATGGCCCAGAAATTCCCGGCAGGTCCAGATAGGCCAAGCCCAACAAACATACGCATGATGTGTCTTCGGCCCCACGTGCCGAAGGCTTTAAACTCAGGAAACCTGGTCTAGAAACATCACCAAAGAACAGGGCTTGAAATAAGAGCCTCCCGCACATACAGCCTTCGGCATTAGGGACCCTCGGTGTGCAGGGCCTTCGGCCCCGGCAGGTACGGCCGAAGGCACTATTCGTCTATTCTCGACAAGATCTCCTCTCCCCATGCACTGAATCGCCGCATCAAGTACAACGTCACACCCAAACCACCGCATTGAATGCGGCCACATGCTATGGTCGACGCCACCCTAGTTGAGTTCACCCTCCACCGCTGGTTTCTTGACACGTGTACCCTCACTGATTAGATCTAGCATTTATAATTGCTATAAATAGCAGTCAATTTTCCCATTATAACACAACTTTCTATATCAAATACCTACTCTCTCTCTCTTACTTATTGCTCTGACTTCTCTCTAAGTTATTCCCCGCAATAACCCCTTGGATAAGTTACCCTCCGGGTACACCATCCATCATCTAGAAAATTAAAAGTGTATCACTTAAAATAAAAATATTAATACATTTTCATTAACATAGCCAAAACCTCCAAATCTTATGTCCCGAATCACTAGAAGTCAATGATAAACTATATCATATAATTTATAGAATATAATAACATAAAATAAAGAAAATAGAAAGAAATAAAAAATACTAAAACTGACAAAATAGAGAATTTTTATTTTTACAATTAAGATAACATAACAATTTAATAAAATTGATTTTCATGAAAAAATCTAAAATAAAGATTTAAATCACAATTTTTTTAATCACAATATACTTTTAAAAAACACAAAATGTAAATTTGAATAAAGGAAAATAATACAAAATCATAACGTGTTAACAAAACTATGAAAAATAAATTGAAAAAAGAAAAAATGGAATTTTAGTGAAAATAAATAAAAAATGACTAAAAATATTTTTATTTAACTTCGATACATTTGTAGAATTTTCATAATTATTTTTACATGTTTAAAAATATTTAATTTGGAAATTTATAAAAACATTATTATATTATTTTAAAATTGAGAGTTGATAATTGGGATTAATAAAAGAAGATCGACTATAGTCGGGATTATTTATAGCTTACGCATAGTTCACATTTAAATTTGACCTGCTATACCAGGTTGTAGCAGGTTAGAGACTATTTTTGGAAAATGGTCCCTATAGTTGGGACCACCGAGGAATAATCGATAGTTGGGGTTATTAGTAGCGGAACGACAATAGTTGAGATTATTATTTTCCATTTTTACAATAATAAATAAATAAATAAGATAAGTTATATCTGATAAATCAAATAAAAGTAATATCAAAATATTTTGTATTATACTTGGTGTATAAAAATATACGCACACTTCATGCAATAGAATTAAACACTTATATGGCATCAGAAAAATAAAATGGAAATAAATCAGATAAAATATACGTGACAGAATAAATAAATAAATAAATAAATAAATAAATAAATAAAAATAATAGTAAGAATATTATAAATTACTAATAAAAGTATCAAAATGATAAATAAAAATATCAGATCATAAAACAATCTCACATGCTAAGATCACCTACCAAATCATGTATATACATTATGTACATATATACATATATGTATTTATATGTAAAACTCAAAATACATTTAAGTAAATAAAATAAAAATAAAATGAAACATAAATATCAAGAGGAATCAAATCAGGAACAAATACACATGTCATGTCCATCAACTATCAACCTATCATTATGTATAGACATTATTATTTTTATTATTTTTATTATTATTCATATAATTATCAAATAAATAAAATAAACCATAATAATTCATTTAAAATCCAGAAGGAACCATCTAGACCTATAAATATACCCCCTTAGCCATCCCAAACACTTCAAATCGGAGAGATATGAGCTATATATGCATATACATATATATACATAATCTCGCCGGGAAATTTCTATATATATTATTTTACGTATAAATCTTCGTAAAAATGATAGAGGAGGATCGTGAGAGTCTAGGAATACTTCCCAATAAATTGCAGATCGATTCGTAGTCATCGGAGTTTCTTAGACGTCGTCGGAGTTGCAAGCCTTGGAAATGGGTCTTCAGAAAAGACACGATTTGGCCGTAGATAGGGGTGGCGGAACTTCTCCTCGACGTCAGGATCATTTTGCAACTTGAATCGTTTAAATTCGTTACCTGTAAGTAAAGTTATCGCTCGTCCAAGTTTACGTAATTCCGGCCGCCGGAATCACGACCCGGAGAAGAACTGGGAAAAATGAGCAGAGAACTAGGAAGGACAAGAGAAAGGGAGACGGAACAAAAATGACACTGTGGTTTTTAATGAATCTCGGATTGGACATTCGGGTTTTTAGTAGACCTAATTAACACAAATTCTAACTTATTCGTTGCATTTATGCCACCCACTAACCTTTTCCGTTAAATGGACGTTGGTTGAGGTTACTGATAATTCATTCTGCAAGTTATTAAAGGAGATTTCATGATGAATCTCATTTCCTAACAACTAAACTCTGGAAAATGAAGGTATGTTCAATAGCGGAATTGAATCACACCTGTTTCAGAAGAATGCTCACCATTCTGTAATCTAGATGGACCTCTTACATGGGGGGTGACTGTTCTATGGAAGGTATACCATCAGTTGACATTCTAACCAAATTGCTCCCATGATCCATCCAACTAGAATTTCCGATTAGTTTTTTTTACACTCTTCTTCTTTTCAGACCACAAGGCAGGACAAAGTACTAGCACCCAAGGTCCTAAACCATCCCCCTAGTTGAGGGCGAAGTTTCTCAAATGTGAAGCTATCCGGAAATAAAGTGACAGAGGTGATAACAGATTCATACTCGGGACCAAGTCCTTGGATGGTAGATTGAAGAAGTTCACGATTGCTAACCGGGGAATTAATCGATTTAAAGCATCAGTCAAAACAATGATTTCACGTAAGTAGTCATCCATGGATTGGTCCTCCTTTTTCTTTAAAGCACTTAACAACCTTTTTAATTCCATAGAACGAGCCACACAAGCCGCCATAAATCTAGTCTCTAAACGTTCCCAAATCAAGGCAGAAAAACGAATAGTATGCACCTCAACTAAAATATTTCGGGAAAGTGTAGCAAATAACCAGGAACGCACAGTTTGATCAATTTTAAGCCAAGAGTGATATTCAGGGTTGGAAACCTCTCTAGTGAAATTATAAAAAATTAATTGTGGCGGTGCAGGAATAGAGCCATCAATTATGCCTAATAAACCATGAGAGACTAAAAAAGACTACATCATGGTAAATAATCCTCAACAGTGTCCAATCGTGTGGTGACAATATTTGTAACATTTGGTGTGGAGAAAGATAATTGATTGGACAAGGTGGATAATGTTACCGTAGTGGACCCCGGCTGTAGTGGTTGTGAAGGGCCATCGAAAGGCGAGGACCAGGCTGCCCGGAGAAAGTCGGACCCGAGTATGACACGGAACTAGGAGCTGTCGGTGTTGGAGACGCCGCTGCAGGAGGTTGCGGAACCGTGTGGGTTGCTGTAGGTGTCCATGAAAAAGGCTCCGACATGTTGAATAAACGGTAGGATCCCAAGGATGGAGGCGGCGGCAAGGCAAGGCGTGAGGCAGAGAGTTGCAGTGAGAAGGTCACGCCGGAAGATGTAGGCTGGTCCAGTCGAATGGGCGCCTGGACTACTGCTGAAGTCGCGCTGGAAAGCTGCGTTGTGACGCCAGAAGTCGGCTGCGCCACCAGGACTGCGGGTGTCGTGGAGTGTTCAGCGGTGGAAGACATAATATGCTAGGGTTTGGAGGAAGAAAAAAACTAGACTACTGATACCATGTGATAAAATAATAATGATGGAATGGTTTACCCCATAGGTAGCTCTAGCATTGTATTTATAATAATAATATTTAGAGTAATTACACACAAGTTCTTATAATTACACTATTACTTATTACCCGAAGAAGCTCCCCTGAGGCAATGACCCAAATTCTTAATCATATGTAACCCTAAGGAAGAAGTTAAAATTATTGGCGAAGCTGATAGAGAAGAATGCAACAAGAATTCATTGACCACCTGAGTCCCTGATTTCTTAAGCTTTGAAGAAACTAAGCTCTCCATTCCTCCTTAACTAGGATTCAATCCTCCGGGTGTGAAATCCTTGCCGTTAGCAAGCTTCTTCTTATCCTTGAAGCTAGCAGCTAGACCGGAAGCCAAAGATTAATTACGGGGGAGTCACCGTCCTTGGATGCGCTGAACCATATTTCGCCCTTTTTATTGGTTCACATCGGAAATTCAACCCAACTGAGCATAGGCTATTGGAGGACTCATATGTGCTGGAAGCATTATGCTTCTTAGAAGAGAAAATTCAACCTTTGAACACCATTCTTGGCTGATGGGTCTGCTAGGTTTTGAAGCACATACTGCTAATATCATTTTTCCCTTTTCAGAGCATGGCGGAGATGATGGTGGATTAGGAAGACATTACATGCTTTACTTCCTTTTTCCTTTTAAGTTGCTCAGATTCAAAAACGTCCGTTTAAAGGAAACGTTAGTGGGTGTCCGAAAAGCAACAAATAGGTTAGAATCTGTGTTAATTTGGTCCGTTAATAACTTCAGTGTCCAATTTGAGGTTCGTTACAAACCTTAGTGTCATTTTTGACTCTTCTCCCGAAGAGAAATACTCCCTCCCTCCCTTAAAAGGTTAAGGTTTGACATGTTTGACCGGCACGTAGAATAATAAAGTAAAAAATGTGTGGTAGAAATTTGTGCAAGGAGAGAGGAATAAGAGAAGCTACAAATTGATTGATTAAACGGGAAAGTGGCAAAGTTTTTGAGGCAACCAAAAAAGGATAGTAGACACAGTTATAAGGGACGAAGGGAGTAGGGAAGAAGGAAAGAAAGAAAAAAAGAAAAGGAAAAAAAGCCGCCTGACCGGGAACTGAGAGGATACCTATTTAAAAGAGGATTTGTTTTTTTTTTAATAGTTCGAGGGTTTGATTGATCGAATTTTTAATAGGGGCCTAATTGTTTTTTTCTTTTTGAAAAGTTAAGGGGCTTTTTAATAGGGGGCCTAATTGTTTTTTAAAGTTAAGGGTTTATTTGATAGTTTTCCCTGACATTCCCTGGCATGTATAACTTAGATGGAAAATTTTGAAAATAAACCATTGACATCAAAGTATCAAACAAATCAGCCGCTGAAAATTTTGAAAAACTTATACACAAGAAATTTGAAAAACTTGGACACAAACTTGGACACAAGATTGACTGAGGAGGTATTATATACACATACACTCTTTACCTCTTCATTCAAATTTTTATCTCTTTCGATTTTTTCTGACGAAGTTTTAGATATGGTACTCTTTTTCCCAACCATGACATTTTCTCATTGTGATTTTTCATAGCAAATATTTTAACGAGGGAATTAATAATTCAAGGGCTGTGTTGAAAAACACATGACTTGTTTATCCTCTATAATTGAAAATAATTATCAAAATATTTGTTCTATTCTACTATTCGTTATTAAGAAACTGTTATCATTATTGTAAAAATAAATAGAAAATAATAATTATCTATACGTTTGTTATTGGCGACACTTTCTGACTATTATTTGTGGGTAATGACTTATTTATAATTTCATTATTAAAGGATACATAAGTAATTCCATAGTTTCCTCAAGTACAGAAGATTAAAAGCATTTCCCATATATAATAAGTTGTCGGTAGGATGATGAAATAAGAGATTTATATATAGGTAGTACATTTTTTATTATTCTGGCTAGTGAAGCTGAGGTTGAGGACAAGAGCGAGTGCAGAAGCAGCGACGGCGGAAGCCGCGACAAGTGCCGCCGGTGAAGCCTTCGCTTGTGCAAACGCTGCCGCAGTTGGTGTCGCTCCAGCACTGCCCTTTGAATCGGTGGCTCTTTGACTCGCACAGTCTCGAACCCTTCACCCTCCCCATCTTCTCATCTGCATGTAAGAATGAATTATAATCACTCAAATATTACCGGTAAAATGGAACAAAATAAAAACTCCGCCAATTAATCTCACATGCAAGTGTGAAATTTTGTTAATAAAAAGGTAAATTTGTTTGCTTAAATTAATTAATTACCAAAGCAAGGCATCAGAAGCAGCAAGAGCAATAGAAGGGCGGGCAGCTTTGGGCCGCTACTGTTAATGGACAGCATCATGCTTATAACCAAATATATACAGATTATTGTAAAAAAGAAACACTGCAATATATTATATGTGCGTTATTTTCTTGATGATTTATATGTGTATTTGTATTTATATAAGTAGGAAAGGTTGAGACTTGAAGGATCGGATGAAGTGAAGTGGGTGACAAGCGGCGAGGCGTAGAAGAGTTCAAAATGCACTTCGCTTCTAACATGGCACTCCTCTCTCACTGACACGAGTAACCTCATGCACCTATATATACATAATAATAAGCTGCACTCTTCCAAATTACATAAAACTATCAAATAGGTCCCATACTATATGTCAATTAAACCCTCTTTCTTTCTTCTACGCTAACACCAGTTTACTGTTCACCCTCTTCTTCCTTGCAACGGCCAACATCATTCTCCGCCCACCACAGTCTTGATGCCGGGGTACTTCACTGCATTCAGCCGTCGGACTTTTCTGCACTCCATCGCTGGGCTACACTGCACTTCGCCGTCGAATTTCGTTGCACCTTGCAGTCGGAATTGACAGCAATTAGCCGCCGGAATTCTCTGCAATCAGCAGCCGAAATTCACACAACATTCAGATTTAGCCCTCCACTCCACTCCATTTCTGCGGTTCCGTCCTTCACTCCACTTAGCCAGCGCCTTCACTTCACTCCGGCGAACTTCAACTCCATTGATGGAGACCGCAGTCCCTGGAGATGGTCCTCGCACTTCCCAGCTGTGACAGTGGGGGTTCAAGGGCAAACCTTGAATTCCTCCTGCGAACCTCATCTGTGCAAACGGGAAGAAGGAAGGCCAGGGAAGAGAAAAAGAAAAGAAGAAAAGGAAAAAGAAAAAGAAAGGAAAAATTCATATGAATACCCAACTATCATGTGTCTTCCAGTATTAATCTCAAATATGATAATTCTAAAACAATACAAAGTTCATATGTCTTCTTCTCAGATTGATCCCAGGCTACCTGAAACCTATTGAACAGGTAAAAACTAAAAAAAAGAAAAAAAAGGAATAAATGGACGCTTATTTGAACGGCTGAAACAACAGATCTTTATATACTTCTTTGGGGACAGTTGGCCGGCCAGCCAGTGAATGTAGGAGCAGATGAAACGGTCGGCAAGGAGGAGCAAACTTCCAATCTCTTCTCTCCAGCTCCATACTCTATTCGAATTGAGGTCCTGGACATGTTGTTTTCCTCTTCACTCAACTGGGAATCTCCCATTGCCGGTGGAGTCGTGGAGACAAAGTTTGTGACGGCAACAATCTAGGGACGATGAAGCACATTCAACTATCTCCCTTCTACCACCTATGACTCTGGTTTTGCTCTTCTCAGCTATGTATGGAAATATTCCGGCTATCTCCCCTCCACGTATCTCTTCTGAATCTCATCCGGCTGTTCTCCCCTCTTAATTCGAAAGAAAAAGAAACCAACGGGGTGGAGATGAGAGAGTTGTGGTGTCTAGCAATTGATTCCATTTCCTTGGTTTTTGGGCCTAAAGCAGTAACCCGCTGGAAAGGGAAGGCAGGGAGGAGCACGGGAGGCTGGAACAATTACGGAAAAATTAAAAGAAAAAAAGAGAATTACAAACGAAAAAGAAGTAAAAAGAAGGGGGAGTGGGAGAGAAGAGGGGAGGAAATAAAAACGAAGAATGAAAAGGATAGTGCACACCAAAGAAAACTCAGAGACAACGGACGGAGCAGCAGAAAAAAGAGAAAACATAAGGAGTAAGAAATAAAATAAGAACAAAAAAAGACTAATCCAAACATGCCACGTGCCTAGTGACCTACTAAATTAGTTTATGTAGGTCACCGAGTTGTTTAGAGAAGATGACCCTCATACATTGAATTACTTGAGCATCTGATTTTAGGAGACAAAGGGAGCCTACTTCGTTGCTGAGGAATCTTTGATGCTGTTAATCTCAAATGAGTTTTACATTAAACTTAAATGAGTATACGCCTAAAAGTAATGAACATATTAATATTGAACATATTAAAAATGAGTTTTATATTAAGATCAAACGAGTACAACGTTCAAAACGAATGAGCATACACAAATGTGTTTTTTAATTTTTTGATAACCCATTTTCTAAGGTATAAATGCTCATTTGGTACCGCTTTATGCTCATTTAAAAAGTTGCACATTTCAAACGTATGCTGAAAAATAATAAAACAAAAGTGAATTGGAAGATAAGGAGCAGAGAACACTGATGCTCATTAGTAGGCTCATAATACTAAAAAAACAGACTTGATGCTCACCAAAACTGCATCAATGTTCATTTAAGAGAATCTGTGTTTTCATCAAAATTACAAAATTGTCATCGGCTGTACAGTATACGCTTTCGTAGGTCACTAGGTGGTTTAGAGAAGATGACCCTCATACATTGAATTATTTTAGAATTACATATATTTGGGATTAATAATAGAATACACCTGATAGTTGAGATTATTCATGTGAATTTTTTCAAAAAGAAAAGAGAAAAAAAGGGAAGAAAAAAAGCCACGTGGGACGCCACGTGGCTAACCGGGAAACCGGTCCTTGACCTGCTAAAAAGCGTAATTGAACGTTTTTTTGAAGTTCGATGGTTTAATTGAGTGATTTCTAAGTACGAGGGTTTAATTGACTTTTCTGATATAGTATGTGGGCCTATTTGATAGTTTTCTCTTCAAATGAAATTGTAAGACCCTCTGGATTTGCCGTTACGTTTTCGATTCTTTTTCTTATACAAATGTCTGAGATCATCCACCCACACCGGTTTTAATTTTTGTAACCTTTTCTCAGTATTTGTGACTCGTAAAGCGTGTTTTGACCCTTCATATATAGAGCATATATGTAGCCTATTTTTGGTCGGTTATGCTCAAATTTATAAAGTTCTGACTGAATAGTTATATTGGCTGATTCTACTTATTTATGAAAAAAATTATATTTAAAATATGTTTATTAATAATAAAAAGAAAAAATATATGAAAAAATTGCTAAAATGGTAACTCCAACCTTACTTTTTCTTATTATTACACAATTCTGCGCAAAAATTAAAAGTTACATGTTTAGCTAAAAATTGATTGATAAGCAGAAGAACAGAGTCACCAAAGAGACTCATAATGTCTATTGCTTGAGCTAATTCCTTCAAATTTACTTTTCTCCATTTCGACCTGTAATGAACACCATTTTATTTTAACTCGTAATGAACACCAATTTATTTTAGCTCGTTTCTTTATCTTTTAATCAGAATTTGCCTATATCATATCAACATAATCCCAAGTTTTCTAAAATTTTCCAATTTTTTTAAAATTGCCCCTAAACCCTAATGTCTCTATCGGTCTATCTCTCCATCTTAAATCAAACATTCAAGTAAAGAGTAGTCCCAGTTCTCATTTTGGGGACTGGACCGGCCGGTTCCGGTCCCGGTTTCAATCTTAAACCAGTTTTTTTGCCTTGCAAATAGGGATGGACCGGTTCCGGGTAGACAGGCCCGTGACCTGACCCGGATCGGTACTGTTTAGTACCGATCGGGCGCCAACCGGGTCCAGGCCCGGTCCTCTATACCTGAACCAAAGGTCTGTAAAGGCGGGTCCAGGTCTACCAAATCAGGTACCGGCCCGGCTGGACCAAGCCTAATCCGGGCCTATAACGGCTATTTATAAAAAAAAGTAATTGGAGCCTCCTAGTCATAGGGAAAAGTCCCAAACAGCTCTATAGCCGTTGGAGGCTTGGAGGGGGGTCCTGGGGGTTTGGGGGTGGGGGTAAAACAAAGTCCGAACCCGTCCAAACCCGACCCGGTACTCGGCCGGGTAGACCATCCCGACCCGGGCCCGGTAGCTACCCAAGCCAGTTCCGGGACTAAATTAAAAAAAAACATTCGGGCCCGACCCGGACCAGGCCCGGTCCATCCCTACTTGCAGATGAACTAATTAATAGAAACAGAACAGGGAAAACTATCAAATAAGCCCCCGTACTGTACCGAAAAAGTCGATTAGGCCCTCGTACTTTACAAACACTCAATTAAGTCCTCGAACTATTAAAAAACGTTCAATTAAACCCTTTTGGTGGGTAAGTAACCGATTTCCCGGTTAAACGACGACGATGGTGACGATGTGCTCGAACCCCAGCAACGGCGGGTTCCGGGAAACAGGTTACATTTAACCGGGAAACCGGTTACTTACCGACCAAAAGGGCTTAATTGAACGTTTTTTAATAGTTCGAGAACTTAATTGAGTGTTTGCAAAGTACGAGGGCCTAATCGACTTTTTCGATATAGTACGAGGGCTTATTTGATAGTTTTCCCAAACAGAACAAGTCCAGCCAATCACCAGACAGCCCGGGGAACCGGAACCAGCCCCGGAACCGGATTTATCCAATTCAAACTCGGTCTTCCTTACTTTGACATGGGAACAACCGGTCTGAGGCCTGGATATAACCAGAACCGGGTCAACCCCTGCACTATACACATAGTACCTTTATTTATATTTTCATAAATAACTCTCTATGGATCGGTCATTTCTTAAATAGATACACAAGCATATGTGCCACTTCTTAAATAAGATGATTCTGTTGCGGTTCCCATTTGGATGAAAATATAGATAACGGGAAATAGGGATGGATTCGGTTCGGGCCACCCGGCCCGTGACCCGGCCCGCTACTGTGCGGGCCCAGGACCGGCCCGGTCTGGCGGTCCGGGTGTAGACCCGAACCGGTGGGGGAAGCGGGGACGGGCTCGGTTCCTGCAAAAGGTGAGCCGGTCCGGCCGGGTTGGGCCCGGGTCCGGGTCACAGCGGCTCTTTTTAAAAAAATATTTGGGCCAAAAATGACCGTTGGGTGGGCTGCAGGGGGTCCGGGCGGTTTGGGGGTGAGGGTGGGGGTGGGGTAAAAAAACCTATAAATACTCCTAATCTTAAACAGTTTTCCATATCTCTTCTCCAACTCTTCCTAAATCCTACTCTTAACTCTCTACTCTCTAATTATCTTCATCTTCTCAAATTCTCTTATTCTCCGATATATTATATTTATATATCTACTTTATATTAATTATTTACTTATAATTTATAAACACATACATTATATTACTTATATTTCTTATCTAATTATATCTATTAATATAGTTGGAATTATATCTAATTAATTTGAAGTCATTCTATTACTCCCATCCGAAAGACCAAAAGTCCAAAAGAGGTACAAAATCATTCTATTATTTACACTTGTTTAATTTTGTATTAACATTACTTGAAAAAAAAACTAGTTAATTCTATTATTATTAAGTGATGTGACATAGGAGTGGACTTGGGCCGAGCCAACCGGCCCGGAACCGGCCTGGCCCGCTATTGTGCGGGCCCGGACCGGCCCGGTGAACCGATTGGTTGCCCGGTTCGGGCCACCCGGCCCGGTGGGATGGCGGTTCGAGCTCGGGCCCTTCAAAAGGTGAACCGGCCCGGCCGGTTCGGGCCTGGGCCGGGCCAATTTATTATTATTATTTTTTTTTGAATTTTTTTTAAGTTTTTGGGTTGGGCTGGGTATTTTGGGCCATTTGAAGTGGTTAGAGTTGGTTTGGGGGTGAGGGGGAGGGTTGGGGGTTAACTAGGAAAAGCCAAAAAAAAATTAGAACCGAGGCCCGGCCGGGCCCAGGCACGAACCGGGCCCGAACCGGAACCGTTCCATCCCTAATGTGACAAAGCCAAAGGACCGGAAGGTGCGGGAAGTTCCGATTGATTACAATTTACAAAATGTATTTCATATTGTATGTTTTTCTTAATTGTCAAATGTAGTTCCTATTTCATTTCAAATAAATGCACTTGAAGTTTGTTTTTAATACTTGTATAAAACTATAAAGTATAAATTAAAAAAAAATTGGATTTAACCGGCCCGGGGGGTTGCCCGACCCGTGACCCGGGCGGGTGGCCCGACCCAAACCGGACCCGTCCAGACCTCGGGCTGGTCCCGGGTCCATCACTTACAAACCGGCGGCCCGACCGGGCCTAGGCCCGACTAGGCCTGTCAATGGGTCAGGTCCAGACCCAAACCCAACCCGAATCCGTATTTTTTAACGGGTATGGGTCTACATTTAATTCCGTTTCCCGGACCCGGATCCGGACACGTTATTTAATGGGTCGGGTATGATATATATAGTTCCGACCCGTTTAGGACCCGACCCGTTAATATTTATTTATATATATACATTAGTCAAATATACATATTACATTAGTTGCCGCCCACATTACGATCTAGTTTAATAAATTCAAAGGATCCCTAGAGACCCTACAGACCGCAGAGGATTCAAGAAAAAGCCTGTTCAGATTTCGAAGCCATTTATTTTACTTTATTCTAACATTACGTATCTTGTAAATTATAAACCAGCTCACAATTGTTGTGTTTGATTTAGGGTTGGACTCGGGCCGGGTCGGGCCCGGTCGTGCCGGCGGTTCTATATAGCTGGACCCGGGACCGGCCCGGGTAGCCACCGGGTCCGGGCCGGGCCGGGCCGGGCCTCGGGTTTGGTTAATTTTTTTTTTTTTGCTTAGCTACCCATCCCTGACCCCCCCCCCCCTCACCCACCCACCCCCAAACCCCTCCTAAACATCAAGCCCAACCCGGTGGAGCCCAAACAAATGAAAAAAACCAAAAAAAAAAATAATAATAAATTTGGCCCGAACTGGGCCCGAGCCCGGCCGGGCCTTGTTATGGGTGACCCGAGCCCGGACCGGAAACCCACCGGGTCGGGCCTACCCGGACCGGTCACTGACCGGGCCACCGGTTCGGGCCGGGCCGGAACAGTACCGGTCGCGGGCCGGTTCCGGGTCGGGCCACCCGGCCCGAGTCCAACCCTAGTTTGATTGAGTAATTATAGACAAGTAATTACAATTCATGTGCCATATTATTGCCAAAAAAGTACTCGGTAGTAAGAGGTCTTGTTTTTTATTTAAGAAATTAGAATTGGATTTTTGTGAGACGGGTCGAGTCTACCCGACCCGTTTCCAAGACCCAATGGGTATGGGTCCGGGACATTAGTTCTAGACCCGCCGGGTATATGGGTCAAGTCTGGACTCTGGAACTCTATACAGGCTAACGGATCCAAGTCTGGGATACTACGTTCCAGCCCGTACCCGGCCCGTTGAAAGGTCTAGGCCCGGCCTGAGTCCATGTCTAAGAGGAAATAACATGCGTAGTAAAATTTATCAAAACTCTTCCTTCTGCAATCCTTCCTCCCATACAAGCATGAAATTTATCTAAAATCGTCATCTCCCGTTGCCTAACTTGGGGTATTGTTGAATTAAATTTAACAATCCTCAAGACAATGTAAATTCAAAACAGTTACAAATTCGCTCTTACTACTACTATGACAGCAAAAGTGACTTTTTAAACAGCTAAAATAATTCTTTAAACAAATAAACACCTCCCCATTCAACCATTTGTATGATGGACTGAACCGAATCAGCAATCTTACAATGCATTTGTCTCGTCTTTTGGCAACCAAGACAGATCCTAAGAAAATGTCCGAGAAACAACAAAACAAAATATAAGATATTGTGACAAAATTAAAGGTCATTTGCAGGTCTTCCCAGGCCACAGTAAATGGCTTTTCGGAAAAGGGGGTGAGCATCTTCAGTCAGTACAGAGGCCTCCAACTTCTCAACAAGTGGCCATATCTGTAAAGCACAAAGCATTATGTTTAGATGAAATACTTCACTGCATTAATTCAATTTAAAGCACTTCAATATTACAAAATCAGCACTGTGTTATGAATTTGACTCAAAAAACATCTTTAAGTTTTTTTATACATTAACATAGGTGGTTCGGGACCCTAGGACTGAATAATCTCGCAGGCTCTGAAGTTACGGGGTAAAGCTCTGGCAACACTTTAGGGTCCAACTAATGACCTCATAGAACTTTTTGTTCTTGGGTTCGAACCAGTTGAACAACCTCTAAAGGTTTTGATATTATTGACTAGTGACTAGATAGAGATGTATGTTTGTAAGCTTCATTAATCCAAAATCATTTCCAAAAAAATGTGAATTAGGGAAGACCATCATTGACACACTTAAAAATTGAGAAACTACAATACCTCAGAAGAGTATTGCCTAGTAAATGCCTTGAGATAACCGAGAGTAGAATAACACCATTGCTTTTTTTCATCGAGACAATATTCAGTCTTGCCTCCATTCGGAAGACTGCATAAGAAAACCCGTGCAATCAAATATAAGAATGAAAATAAAATAATACATTGTCTTTGTCCAACTTCTCAAAGAGAAGTTAATGACAACTGAGTAACTGAATTAACACAAAAAGAGAAATAGATACTTCCTCAAGCACCTCTTATTTGGTCTTTCATCATCTTTGTCCACTTCCATTGCACAAGAATCTTCAAGATCTATAGTCATTTCTTCTGCCTGACCCGAGGACCGCAAGGTTCCATCTGCAAATGCATTATGAAGTGGTTCTGCCAAGACAGTTGAGAAGTTTTGGTACAAGCAAAGGAACAATGCCTGTAAATGAGATATGGATTCAACAGATCAGGCAAACTTAAAACTGCAGCATTGCTACACAAAAGTGCAGGTGAGACTATATCACACGAAAATCTGTGGTTCTCGCATGTGTTGGAAAGATATTTCGATAGATACAACCATACAACTCTATGCATGGCAATCCTTATAACCAAAAGTTTAATGTGCACAAAATTTAGTGAATGCATTAAATGAACTAAAATAATCATAACTGCTTGATTACCCTAACGGTTTAGATATTCTCCATGAATGTGTAGCTTTTTGGTACCTATCAGAACCTCACACCCGACACACACACATATCCATAAGCATGCACGCATAATGTAAACACACTCCCCCACCCATGCAAAGTAATCAGATATACCTCATTTTCGTCAACTGCTCTAGCTAAAAGAGCTTCTTTTGCCTCTAGAGACTCACGAGTGGATAGCTCCTCATCTTTGGCTTTTTCAGCATTTGCTTTAACTCGCTTCATTTTGGCAGGGCTTTCACCAACAACGGGTTCACCGTCCAAGAGAGTCAGCTTAGACTCAGCTTCTTCCAAGTCTAACAGGGATTTGGAAACAGCATCTTCAGCCAACATTAGAGTTTTCTTGAGGGTTGAAATTTCATTCCTCAAATCACAAATCCGATTGTATGTCTTACTGACAGTATTTCTAAGAATCTGAATAATATCTCAAGTTACTGATCAAGTATAGAATGTAGACTCATTTATATGTATAAAAACATAAAACAGAAATATGAAACTGATCCACATTACGAAACAGGGAGTCGAGGACAGTCATAAGTATATAAAATAGATTCATTACAATAGCCTACCTCCCAAGGGCGGTCAGAGGTATGAAACTGATCCACATTTTCTGAGGAGAAAACCCATCTCACAATGGCCAGGTTAGATATGAGCCGGTAACCCATCATTCGATCAATGGCAATTGCTGTCATCTGACCATTACTTTTCCAGTAAGAACTCAGTTCAGTGATAAACATAACTTGTTTGTCCTCGTCAGTACAAATTTTAGCGATGACTTGGCCATATCTTTCCAAGACAGTTATCAGATGAGTAAAGCTTTTTGATCCAATGTCAAGAAGGGTCTGAATAATAACTGTGCAGGTAATCTCCAAACCGTGAACCGGAAGTACATTATCATCCATCCAAGATATAATCTCACGAGCAGTTTTCCGTCCTTTAACCATACCACTGAGCTCTACAGAGAGGGTGTGGCCTGCATGATTTGTACCATCATCCACACTGTATTTGAAATCAGCCCCTCCTTTGGGAGGAAGCAAATCCTCCAGAGCAGGTGTACTCTCTATACTCTGTATATTTGGATAAATGAATGAAGCAAAGTTTAAGTGCAGAGTAACAAATCATTAATACTTTATGAGAAGAAACCTGCTTGATTTTGTCCCAATATGAAAGACGGACTTCCCTTTCTAAAACCTCTTGAACAAAAACACGTTGTGGAGCCCATTTCGGGAGACTTAACACATAAGCCCATTCTTCCCATGGCCATATAAATTGAAAGTTTGATCTGGAGGCAAAATTAAAGAATACATTATTGAATATTGATTGTTCTTATATAGTACATCCTGATGACTCATGAAACACATGATTGTCACCAGAAGAAACATCAGGTACATAGATAGTTACACTTAAGGCACATAGTGATGGAGCGTAGGGCCTATCAATTGTGCGATGTACTTAAAATCTCAACTTACAAATGATGTGAGAACCATAGGATGAGACGTGTTCTGCACTCCATATCTAAATCTGCTATTTTATCGAAAAGAGTACGTACAGCTCCTGCAATGACAGCAGGAAAGGCCCCTGGAAGAGCCTAAGAATGAAAATCCTTGTTGTCAGAGCTTGTGTCATAAGTGAAAAAATATTATGAAAGCATGCCTGAAATTTTGGGGGGATAACTTCCACAAGTTTTGAGTTATAATATTACCTTGCATAAATCAATGATGACCAACGTGTAGTATATTGGTTTGAATGGAGGTTCAGGTAAGAGAAGCAGCTGCAGCACCAAAGAGGAAAATAAAAAGGGTTAACACGATGGCATATGTCCAGGCCTGAAGAATGTCACCACAGCGTCCAGTTCTCTAGTTGATATTTATTAAATCAAGACCATAACCCCCATTCCACAATCACCTTGGACACAACTGGTAGCATGGAGCCGAAACAATTTATTTATGACACCTCCTTTATTATAGTCTTTGTTTTCAGAAGTTTAATTATTGTAATGGACCAATGGGAGCTAAATATTTACATTTTCTGTAACCACTTAAAATAAAATCAGAAAATGACATCACCTATTACCTGAGAAAATATTGTCTCTGCCATAAGATATTCGTAGCGAAAAGGCACAGGCAGCCCAACCATGTAAGAAGCACACTCCTTTCGACTAGCTTTGCAACAAGCAAAACAACATAATAAGAACCAAATCATATCCAATTGGAAGTGTAATTTTATGTAGGTAACAAGGTGCAAATGGTCATATCAGAAATTCAGAACTGCCTCAAAAGAAAATCATAATATAAAGCGCAAATGTCTAACGGAAAGAAGAAACATAAGATAAACACTGTAAAATTCTATATCACAAATCAAAACTCTCCTTGTGAGATTGTGATTATTCATGCAATCAACCCCGCTATCTTTTATTCTTTTAATTTTAATATCACACTAAACTACATATCAATAATTAAGTTTAACATCAACCAAACCTCATAATCCAAAATATCCCTTACATATAGGGACGGAGGGAGTAATAAACAGTCACATAAGTAATCTTTCCTTACAATGGACAGCAATGTGCCATATGAAGTTTTCGTATATGCAAATTGTGGAGAAATACTAATATCTTTAATTCAACATGCAGGCCTCTCTCTCTCTCTCACTCTCTCAACTTCATTAGTGTATTGTAAATTGTAAACCAAATGCTTCGAACGATGTTTGATAATTGCAATTTCTTTCATGACATATAATCATTTTTTATGGTACAGCGGAAGAATGAAATCATCTAGTTCTCTAAGCAAATTGAAAAGTGGAGATTAAAAAGTGAAATGCAAATTTCAAGAAATATATAACTATTAGAAGAAATGTGATAAGCTAAGCACTATTAATCTAGAGATAGAGCAAGTGGTAGCGGGTCAAAGTAATGAAAAGTTAACAGGGCCAACAAACCAGCCATTAAGGAAAAAGAGCACATCCAGCAAATACTCTTCAACAACAAAACGATCAATTGGCTGAATATCCTGACACTCAAAATAAGAAATGAACACAATGAGCTAAATTAAGAAAGGGATGCAACTATTTCAACAAAACCCAAATTGGCAGCAAGTAGATAAATATTACAATTACTAACATCAGAGAGCACTCACTATGAATTGTGAACTTAGAGTTTATATAATTTGCATGTGTGGAAAATGGAAACAGAATACATCTTTAACTAAGCGATCTTTGAACAACACAGAAGGTTTAAGTAGCTGTATATACTATGTAGAGAATGAATAAGAACTAGCAGTAACATAATATCAGCAGCAGTGTCATCAGAAATAGTTAACTACCTCAAACTTGCTTGCAGGAAATATATTGAGTCTCCGAATCCTCTGAGGATACTTTGAATCAGCTTCATGCTTCTGTCTACCAGGAGTAATTCCATAGAGTGCTCGAGGTTGTTCAGGACAGCTAATGGGACCAAAGTCATGGGATTTCCCAGCAACAAGCTGTGCCTCAAAAGAAAGATGCGGCCTAGGAACTGAATAAATGAAAATAATCAGGGGTTTTTTTAATTGAAAATAGAGCCCCATCATAGGTCATAAAATTGAAAAACCAAAAAGAAGCACATATTTCCACTTGAATCTAGATAGATGTGCAGGTTAAAAACTGTCAACACAATTACAGCAAGCTGCAACCAAATCAATGGTGATAAGAATATGGGACTTGAAGGGGATTGCATAAAGGGGATTTTAATGTGTGCCCATGAATACTTGATACGAAACATTTAATGTGCTCCCATTTAAAGTTCTGATGTATAGATATGAAATAATTGATGTCATTTAAAAGAACAATACAACAAACACTGAAATTTATGTATTTATCACCTTTCCTGTCATAATCTCTGAAAACTAGAGGCATTAAATGCTTCATATCATGTACCCATGGTACTCTTTAGATAACCTTTATATTATTAGAAAACCCAGCAAAATAAAGAATAGTATGAGGGAGAACTACCACATAAGCCCTCGAACTTTCATAAAAAGTGCAAATAAGTCCTTTTATAGGAGGCTCTGTCCGGCCACCGCCATTTGGGGCGGTTTCCGGTGGAATTTTTTGATGAGATTTTTTGAGCATCTTCTTCATTAAGTCTAGTTTACTCATACCAAATTTCAGCTAAAAATTCAATCGGGAAGGCAGTCAAATGAATTTTTGAAGATAATAGCGCAGTTAGAAAATCATTTGACTGCCTTCTCGATTGATTTTTTAGCTGAAATTTGGTATGTGTAAACTAGATGAAGAAGATGCTCAAAAACTTTCATAAAAAAATTCCACCGGAAACTGTCCCAAATGGCGACAGCCGGACAAAGACTCTTGTAAAAGGGCTTATTTGCACTTTTTGTGAAAGTTCGAGGGCTTATTTGATAGTTCTCCCAATAATATGCTTCACAAAGCTGAAGGATAACAATCTCACATGCACAGAGAAAGATATTCCTCTTTTTGCGTGATTCTGAACATCAAAATTAGCCAACTTACACTTTTATCAAACCTAAAAAGAGCAAGTATGAAAAACATAAATGCTCCACTTAATTATGAGCACATTATATAATGAAACCTCTAATGCTCTCTCATAAGCCTCACTGGAATTAATAAGCTAAAACAACATAATATACAGCAAAATTCCTTGTAAACCAATTACTACAAATTCACAATCACAAGAAAACAGCAAGACTGAACATGAAAGCCTCATTCACATAGAGAAGACATTTAATCACGTGTATAGCACTACATTACATGGAAAATAACTACAGGCAACTGCTTCATAAGTGTATGTTAATAATTTTTAATAAGGGTAATTTGCAGGAATACCGCTATCGACTTTCCATTCTTTGTTGGAGAGGTCTTGAACTCGTTCCCAGAGATCCTCCAAGAAATCCTGGACATTAAAAAATATGAAAAGTTAACAGGTAATGTGATTGCAAATAGTGTACTATGCAACCTGGTGTGTTAAATCCAGTATTGCATACAACAACAACAACAACATCAACAACAACCAAGCCTTAATCCCAAAAGAATTTGGGGTCGGCTAACATGAATCGATCTATGATAACATAAATCCAGTATTGCATAGCATTTCAAAATTAGCTAGCACTAATATACAGTAATTCAAATCAATATTTTGCAAGAAGCTCTTAATAGTGAATAGTGTGAGATTCAAAACCAATTATCTTTTCCATTAACTCTTTATATTGAATACAATGTGTTGAAGATCAGGATCAGAACTGCAACAAGTCAGAAAACAAGAGTCCATATTCACTGTATTGTCCAGTTGTCCTATAAATCCTACTATATACCAAACAGCACAAGATGAAGATTACAGATAATCAGGAAGAGCACATTAAATTAGCTTCCTTCTCCAGTCTCACTAAATTTGTAGTGTCACAGGATCCATCTTTCATTATTTTATTTTATCCATGTAATCAGCTGCTTAAACTGAAAAGTCCATTTCTATATTCATAATGAAATATAAGCAAGTTATCATGCAAAAATAAAAGGTACCAACCAGTCAAAAACTAACCTTCTCATTTTGATGATTGTCAGCATCATCAATGGCCCGAAAAACAGAAAACCGTGAGTCCGAAACATGTCTGCGAATGCTCAAGTAAGCTTCAATGCCAACCATTACTCTTTCAATCTCCTCAGGAACTTGCTAGAAAATTAATGATAATCAGTTCCCTCTATTTATATTTGTCTTCAAGAGGTGCAGACAGTGCGCCTTATTATAGATTCATTTATAGCGAAAGCCCACAGGAATACCTCTACAAGCTCGGCTCCACCCCATGGAAGACAAGCTAAAATGCACATTATATAAAAGTCAGCACGTGCTTGCCAAGACGGATTTCCTTTCTCCTCGTCCACTGTTGTTGCTGCTGATGACAATAGTGTTTCAAAAACAACAACTAAAGAACTGGAGTGAATTACTTTGCTGCACATCTGTAGCACAATAAAATACAAGAAATGACCAATAAGAAAGCAAGTTCCTAAATCAAGAAATGATCGGTAAGAATGCAACTCCCTAAATCAAGAAAGTCCCACAATCCCTAATGACCCTCGCAGAGCTAGGTTTTCACTTTTCAGGTCAGGTCCTACCAAGATTGTAGGATCACATGATCCTGCCATCCAATCATCCATTACATATCTAAATCAAAGGCAGGATTCCTGGTTGAAAGATTGAGTTGTGAAATCATGACCGTGATGGCGATTACAGGAAGGTGGAATCATGAATCCATAAAAAATTAGCAATCCTCGCAGAGCTGGCTTTTAAGGTCAGCTCAAACAAATTGAGTTCAAAATCCTATAATAAGAGTTATGTTTTGTCAACTGTCAAGTGTCTTACGTGATGTTTACAGAATTTGTTCTAATCTCACATAAGAAAATTAGAGTGACAGAATGATATGTTAATAAGACCTTGTTTTAAACTACTAAAAAGATTGGATTCAATCTTTCAATATGGTTTGACTCAAGTGCCTTATGACCCAGTTGAGTGACCCAACACAATCATGATGACATAATAGAATTGAGGACTTGTCCAAAAGTCCATCCCCAGCGACCCATGACTCTTTAAGTCGACCATCCTTCTGAAAGTCAAGTCACAACCGTCCGTGGCCCACCTAACGCAGTTCTGTGTCGGGAAATCCAGCCATAGCGACCAATGGTTTTTTAAGTGTTGCCGTGCATTTCAAGTTTCAAGTGGAGATCGAAATTCAATTTACAAGTGACCAACCAATTATATTCAAAATCACCCGGTTGTCTGCTTGAAGGAGAGTGTTAGGATCTCATATCATCATTACCCCAGTGTTGCAAAGGCTCCCACCTACGATGGGTAGGGGGGTCAGATGTATGCAGTCCTACCCCTGTACTAAAGCACAAAGAGAGTGTTTCAGGATGACCCACATCTCTATTTCCACAAAGGCTCTCACCTACGGTAGGATCTCACATCGAAAATTTAAAGAGAGGATGATGGTTAATCAAACCTTGTCCTGAACTAGACAACATACTTCCTCCGGTTCGTATTAAAGTTCTCACTTTCCTTTTAGGTATGTCCCTTATTTAAGTTCACACTTCCATTATAGGAAACAAAACAGTGCAAAACAGTGTCAAACAGTGTCCAAACAGTGCCAAACAGTGCCAAACAGTGCCAAACAGCGCACTCCACGGTAAAGTCAAATTTATTTTCTTAATCTGTGTGAAGTCAAACTGGGAACTTTAATAGGAACCGGAGGGAGTATCAAATTCGATCTTTTAGTGTGATTTAGCCTGACTGCCTGCAAAGGATTTGCATTTCGAGTGCCTTCGCAAAATGCATTTGCATTTTGTAGATTGCAAAGAATTGTGAAGTTAACAAAGACAACCACTGACAGGCTCATTCTCTAGGGTCCTAAGATGTGCCCATGAAAAATATTTAGGCTCCAGAGCTAACTGGGGATGCCATGTTAAGTCGTAACGACAGCACTATCAGTCGTAATCGAGCGTGCTGTGTCAACTGGGAACTTTATATCTCCTTCACTGACAGCACTATCAAGGAGATTTACTCTGGCTGCTGTAATTTTGTGCGAAGTAGATATTGGCCTACTGGATAGGTGTATATTTCTAATTTCTTTGAACTTTTGAAGGCTATTCTGCAACATACGAAGTATATTTGTTTTGCAATTGTTCCCTTTGTAGTAAATGACAAATAAGGCTAGGGGCAGTAATTCTAGATGCAGTGGTAGTGTATGAGATAGCACCATCTGCAGCAAGTATGTAGCATCTCATCATCTTTGTTACAATCCACTAGTTACAATCTTTCACAGTTTGACCCTCCCCCCAACCATATCTTGGGTGGAAAATGTACCTCTATCTTTAACATGTCTCCCAATCATGAGGTTTCCCTAGATGTTACATGGGTTTCTATTCTCTCATTCCACGAATCATTTTTCAGAATTAAGTTTATTGCCACATCATGGTTTGTATGAAGTACGCAGCAGTTCTCATGATAACAGAGGTAGTGAAGGGAAAGGCTTTAGAGTGAACTTTATGTTAATTTTCGTATTGAAATGTTTATATGAACTTCAAAAAGTGATTTTTTTGAACTTCCCTAGTTTTATGATAAGTTAAAAATGCTGATTTCCGTCTCTCCTAAATATATGTGAATTGTCCAATTGTTTATCAGGCCTCTATACTTCCCATTTTTTGTGATACTGTCACCATAACAAGAGTGTCAGAGTTAATTAAATTGAAGAAGCGTAATGCACATTATTAAATGACAGATATTGGATTAACTACGAGAAGAGCCTTCATGCTGGATATAGCAGAAGAAAAAACAGAATAAGGATCAAGCAAACATACCAACACAGTCAGAAACCTCAGTAATATTCGGATTGAATTGCAATTTCCAGATTCCAAGGCATCCTAAAATCAGAAAAGGGCATATGATAAAAACAAAAATAGACCCATGTATTTATGCTGAGCTAAAAAAGGTACATAACATGCTCAATCACACATTAGTAACGCCTTCCAGCATAAGTCAAGACCTACTCATAAGCAAGGAATTTAAAATGAAAAAGGAAAGTACCAGCATATGATATCAAATAATGAAATGCATGCAAAGTTACAGATACAGGAAACTGAAACTCTAATCAAGTGTTCTATTACCCACCTGCAAATTACTACAAGTAGTCTCCACTAATTTTTTGACAAATGCCTCATTCTCCAAATTTAGTAAACCAACCTGAAGGTAGAGAAATGTGAACACAAGAGTTTATAAGCAGGGAAGCAAATTAAATTATTCTCATTTCAAGCAAAAACCTTAAGTAATCACACTATCAAACTCTAAATAATTGCATATGCATTGAAATCACAAATTCACAAGAATAAATGAAAATGATCTTAGAAGGGTGGAGGAAAATAGATAACCCACCAAAGTTCCATAGAGTGGAATCTTGTGAGGCAATTGCTCAGCACACTGGAGAACAAACTGCAGTGTTGTAAATAGGGCTAGTGAGAATTAGCATTCATCAAATAATTTTCTACCCCGCATTAATAAACAGCAATGTTACACAAAAGAAAGCATTAAAATAAATTGGGCGAAATCATTTTACAGCTTTTCAATCAGCGAAGATAATGAATCAGTACACATGCACCCCAGTTAATACCATTAATATTCAAAGAGGATGGGAAGAGCTGACTGTCTTACCAGCAGAATATCTTGACCATAATGCTCCAATTCTCTGCGCACAAAACCAAAACAAGCCTCCTGCAACATCAACATAGCGTCACTGCTGAGCATAGTCATTGAAAGCTTGTGACTTTTACTTTACGCAAACCAAATGCAGCTGCAATAGCTACGAAAAATGCTTACAGCACAACTTCGCAGAAAGTAAAAGGTAGGGTTCCGTGAAAAGGAGAAAGAAAACGGGCATAGCACAAGAAACTAACAATTTGGTCTTTGGGGTCGTGGTTTCCGGCGTACTCTGGGCACTTCTCGCCGATACGCAACACCAAGCTCCGCCAACTGCTCATGTCTAATAAGACTTGATGGTACCAGGCAAACGCATCACAGAGGCGGGATGTCTTTTTATGCCTTCATGGTACCAGGGTTTCGGGGACTTTTTTATTTTTAAAACAAAAATGATGTTTGTACACACTCTTATACACACTTTTGTACACACATATATCTGTGAACATCGATTCACAGACAATGTTTTGCACAAACAAAATATTGTTTGTGAAATGGATTCACAGACAAAAAAAAAAGCTTCACAAACATGATGTGTATAAGGTGTGTACATCAAGAATGGTTGTTTTTAAAAATATTTCCTAATTTCCCTGTCAGCGTGCCACGTCAGCGCCAAAATTACATCTAATTTCCATGTCAATTACTCCACCACATCTCAAGTCCATGTCATCCTATCCTATATCATCCTATATAGATGTTTCATTAAAGAAAACGGAAAGATCCCGAAATAGGAGTAAAAGATTTTGAAAATTTCAAAATAGGACTCACATTTTTTATTCCCAAAATATGAGTAATTATTGCCAAGTTTGGAATTTACTGTCATGTTTAAATTCTGGTGCTGCAAAAACATGGCAGTAATTAGTCCTATTTTAGGATTAAAAAAATGATAGTCCTGTTTTGAAATATACACATGTTTTAGTTCTATTTAGGGTAATTTCTCTAAAAAGTAAGCTACTAGGTTTTGAACCAACGTTCATCATCAATTTATAATTCACAACATTAGTCCGCTACACCACCAACATTTCGTATGCCACTCTGATGTGAAAGAGATTATTATTACTAATATTATGTCGTGCATCTTTAATTAAAACTAAACCCTTCAGCATTTTAATTATCTATGTTCCTCTCTTGCAACCATCACGAATAACCAGCACCGGCTTCGCCAGTTTCAATCGGCACCAGTGTAGCAGCAATTCACCATCCGGCACTGGCTTCGCAGGTTCCACCGGCCTCAATGTCCACACCAGACGCCTCCACTCCAGGTTATTGGTTAGTCTCTTCTTTCAGATATTATATTACAGCCTAATTTTTACAAGCTTAATCTGAAATTCGGAGATACACTTTTCATTTCACAATCCTTTCATTGCAATTAAACATGATATTAATTTTTAAAATAGCAGTTTGTTGATTTTTTGCTTGGATTTTCGAGTATGTATCACCCTTGGCTGAGTTTTGGGCAAACAAGTATTCAGTTCATTATTACAACTTCATTAAGTTTAGCGCTGAACTTATTCCATGTGGCATGAACCTTGGGGTTATCATCGATAGTGCTTGTGACATATATGCAGTAATTTCAATGACAAGTTTCACAATAAACAATTAAAAGTGCTTGTTTATAGAGCAGGAAGTGCACACCAAGTGCGCAAGTTTGATGTTATAATGAAAGAAATTGACAAAATCAATTCAGATGCTCGTAAATGGTTGGACAAGATTCACTTACTTCAGTGGTCTTTGGCTCATGATGGGGGTCGGCGTTATGGAATGATGACTACCAACTTATATGAGGTGTTGAATAGTGTGCTAAAAGGTGCTCGGAATTTGCTTGCATTATGGAATAATGAACTAGATTTTAGCAATTTAGCTTGCTCGTGAGTGAATCTGTGATGGGTGAGCAAGCAAACAGGTCATTGTATCATCTATCCGCTCATCATCACATTATTTCATATTATCAATGATATATTGACAATGGGGGTGATAAGTACTTCTATTATTACTTGTGTTGATGGTCTAACATATCGAATGATATATTGATAATGGGGTAATTAGAAATCAACAAATGCTTGCTCGTTTATAGTAAAGTGCAATTATTTATATTGTAAAATGCATATCTATCATATATAAATATCGTAGTATGTCATACGCGCACACACTTTTATTTATGTGTAGATGGTGAGAAAAGTGAATAGTTGGGCTTACGAGTATCAGCACTTGCGGCGTTTTGAGTAGAACTTGTTTTTCTATTGGAGAGTGGAACACTAATATCATGTGGAGTTGCTTATTTTTTTAATATTCGAGAACTCTATCATATTTGTATTTATTTCTAATCTTTGGTGGTAGTTATTTTGGACAATGGGTGTAATGATTTCTATGGTGATATCTTCAAGGGCCTAGTAACTCCTGCTTTTTACATTTGACAAAGTTGTTTGTGAGTTTTTAATATTCGTGTGTTGGCTAATGATCCTGTCCAGCAGCCCCCCGGTCCAAACATCGTCCGAACATCGCCATTTTCGGCACTTCCCAATGGAGTTTTTTATGAATTTTTTTGAGCATGTTCCTCATCAAGTCTAGTTTATCCATACCAAATTTCAGCTCAAAATTCGATCGGGAAGGCAATCAAATAATTCGGTGCAGTTAACTGCGTTTTTCTATGTATAATTTGGCGCATTTAACTTCAACGAATTATTTGACTATCTTCCCGATCAAATTTTGAGCTGAAATTTGGTATAGATAAACTATACATGATGAGGAACATGCTCAAAAAAATCCACCGGGAACCGCCCCAAACGGCAGTATTCGGACGGCGTTCAGACGGGAAAGTGCTGGACAGGAGAATTCCTCTCTCTCTCTCTCTCTCTCTCTCTCTATATATATATATATATATATATAGATATATATATATATACTACCTCCGTTCTTAAATAAATGCAACACTTTGACTTTTACACTATTCACATGTTCTACTTTGACTACGTTTTATTTATAAATGTAATAATATTATTTTATGAAAAAAATATTGTTAAACTTGTCTCATTGTAAATTTTCATAATCTAATTTTTTTAATTTTTTTACTAATACAAAATCATTTATATTAATGGTCAAAGTTGTGTCTCGGCAAGTGTGAAATGTTGAGCGTTGCATTTATTTAAGAACGGAGGAAGTATATATAGTCTTAACTTACTATAGAATAGAGATCAAATACAAACTAGTCTTAACTTACTAACCTACAAAGTAATCTCAGCCATATGTTTAGTCAAGATTAGCGTCTGTTTCTATGTTAATTGCTCACGACCAACTAATTAACATTGAGGGTGTTTTTGTCAATTATGCCACTTTTATAATGGAACAAAAATCAAGTCCGTTATTTTCCTTTTATCTTTTCATTCCATCTTTCCCATCGATCATGAATTTCATTTCCGCGCTTGTCTTCTTCATCGATATTATGACTTGCTGCGGTTAATTGATGTATCATCATTATCATCGGGCGCCATGTATAGAATCAGGCATTCGTATATCTTTCATGAAATCTGTTTTATACACATACAATAATTTCAGAATGTTAAGGTCTGGGGTTCCATCCTAAAAGGTCAACCTGATAGGAGGAGTAACACATGTCTTAATATAGCACTTCGTTAACTCAAACATTTTCCGATGTGGGATTTCACACCTCTCCTCACGACCAGACTCTTCGTCTGGATCGTGTCATCATTCATTTATTTTCGTCAATTCGTCATTGTCATTTTTTTATAATCGTGTCAATCATTTTTCATAAGGGGGCCCACACCATGGATCGATTTGGCTCTGATACCATATTAAGACCCGGGGTTCCATCCTAAAAGGTAAACCTGATAGGAGGAGTAGCCCATGTCTTAATATAGCACTTCGTTAACTCAAACATTTCCGGTGTGGGATTTAACACAGAGGTTGATCATGTGTGTTTTGTGAGTGTGTTTTGGTCGTGCAATTTTTATGTATCTTCTGACAAACGAATTTCATAATTAAATGTTCATAATGTTACCTTCCTTCAATTCGTAGGTATTTTTTCCTTATGTGTAGTATATTGTATATGAATTATGAATGACGGCAAACTGCAACTTCAATAATGTAAAGAGATCAAATGATTATTTTAATGTTTCTTGAAATATCTATTTGTGTTTCATTTTTACCTTCTGCAAGATAAAATATGTATATGCATTTGTTTGTCTTGTATAGTGCATTTAGTGAATTAATATTTGTATTGTTGTTTAATATTAGTTTTTGATCATGTTTAATATTAGAGATCATTTGTTGTTTATATAAATCCAAGTTGTGGTTTTCAAATTTCTCCTGGGGGTTCAAAGTATTGGATCCCTTAATCTTCACCCGAAAAGAAACCTATTATTGGGATGATATTTGTGAATCTAGATGTTGGCTTTAACTTTTACAAAGACTATGCAGCTGAGTTGGGGTTTACTATTCGTCATCATACATCAAAGAAGGCCGGAGATGGTCATATTTTGATGAAGTATATTGTATGTAGTAGAGATGGTTTTAAGAATAATGCTTGTCCTGTTGTTTTGAATACCAATGTTGCTGGTTCTGAAGGTTGCCCAACAAATAGGAAAAGAGTGTCGAATAGGATTGGATGTAAAGCCATGTTAACTCTGAAATATGTTGGATTTAAAGGGTACTCAGTTTTTGCATTTGAAAAGTGCCACAATCATTCGATGTGCTCTGAAATATCCAAACAATTTCTAAAGGTAAACAGAAATTTAGACCTTGGACATCAGAAGTTTGTTTTAAATTGTTTTAGAGCGAATATTGACATAATGAAGTCATATCAGCTATATAAGGAGACTGTTGGGGAATATTCTAATATTGGCGTTACAACTGTGGAATTCAAGAATTTCAAGCATGATCTTATGGCTTATATAGCTAGTGTTGATGCCCAAATTTTCATTGACAAATTATTCACGAAGCAAGACGTGTCTTCTGCTTTCTTTTTTGACTATGATATCGATGATAGTGACCAGTTAACAAGGTTGTTTTGGGCTGATCCTATGTGCCGTAAGAATTATGCATTATTTGGTGACGTTGTTTCATTTGATGCTACCTATGGAACAAATAGGTTTGTTTCTGTTATATTCAGTTTCATTGAATTTGACTTCATATATTCTATTTTTTTGTTGCACTTCATAGCATAATAAGTTGCATATTTCTTTGTTTGCTTATGCACCAAACAGTTTAGTGTTGCTTAAAATAGTTTCCTTGTTATATGTTCAGGCACAATATGGTGTTTGGACCTTTTACGGGCGTTGATAATCACAGAAAATGTGTCACCTTTGCAGCTCTATTATTATTGAAGGAGGATGCGGAGTCATATGTTTGACTTTTTACTCGTTTTATGAATGTTATGGCACGTCAGCAAACATGCATTATTACTGATCAAGATCCAGCGATGCGGTTTGCCATTGAGAAGGTATTTACATCATCCAAACACTGCTATTGTATGTGACATATTATGTCCAAAGTCACTTAAAAGGTAGGCCCAGTTTTAAGCAAAAATGATACATTTATGTCTTCATTGAATTCAATTGTTTGGAGCCATTACCTTGAACCGTCTCAATTTGAAGAAAAGTGGATCTCTCTCATGAACGAATATGAATTGACAAAACATGATTGGTTTGTCCATTTGTTTGAGTTGTGCTTTTGGTTGTTACCTTCTTATTTTAGAGATCTATATATGGTTGGATTACTTCGTACAACATTACGGTCTAAAAGTGAGAATTCCTTTTTCCTTGAATTTACTAACCCACATTTCAGTTTAATAGAATTTTTAATGCAATTTGAGAGTGCAATGGATGCACAAGCATGCACAAGATAAATTGAATTCAGAGTGAGAGTCCTACCTTCCAGTGTTGAAGACTCCTTTATCTATGGAGAAGGTTGTGTCTGATGTATTCACACTCTCTGTCTTTTATGATATTCAGTCGGAATTGTGTTTAGCATGCTTTGCATGTCGTGTTTTGCATGTGCATGGTGTTGATGGTGATTTTGAGTATTAAATTTCTGATGATCGTAATTTGGTGTTTAGAGTTGACTTAAGCATGTCAAATATGAAGGCTGTGTGCAGTTGTAAATGTTATGAGTGGATTGGCATGGTTTGTCGACACATATTTTTTGTTCTAAAGGACTTGAAATTGGAATGCATTTCGGACCATTTGGTTAATAGCAGATGGTGCAAGAAGGGTCTAGTGAAGCCATTGACTGGAATTTGTGATTCCATATTTGAGCAGACTTCATTGTCTCTTTTGTATGACATATATGCTTGTATGGCTTTTGTTGAAAATAATCCCAATTATTTGAAGCAATTTTTAGGTATAACTAGTATAGTACCTGTGCGATGCACGAGATATAAAATATTGAAATACTTATTTTACATGGAATAAAATTCACACAAAAAAATGACAATGAATTACTACACTAAATGTCAACAAATAAGATGATAAATGCAATTTCTCGAAAAAATTTATTTTCTAGCATGTTTAATAACATAACAAATTAAAATGATATATACGAATGCATGGGTAACTATATAAGCCACACGACACATGTATATATTTGATGACTTGATCATACTTTAAATTGATATGCTTGCCTTTTATTTTCTCCGTCCCATAAAATTCTTCCCGATTTAATTTGAATTGAGAAATCAAGAAAGTGAGAATAAAGTAAAAATGTATAGTTGTGATTGAGTAAGAAAAAAATAAAATAATTGGGAACCACACATAACTTTCCAAAAAGGAAAATAGAAATAATTATTTGGGACATACCAAAAATGAGATTGGGAAGAATTTTAAAGGACAAATCGAGTATTTTTTCAATAAATACTATGTATTATTGATTATCATAAACTTTTGCTTTTGTTTTTCAAAAGGCACTTCAGCCATTTTTTTAAAAAAGTGAAACAACACATTATAATTCACTCATTAGCTGCCTCCTCTAACTATTGCATTTACATGTAATATTCTTTCCAGCCAATTTAAAGTATATGTATATATACTTCGTATTAATTTTTAAGTAGCATATAAACAAATAAAAAGTTACAATTGGACTCTATTATTCCATCCCAAAATCCAAATCCCAACAAATATAAATAAACAATGCCTAGATGATAAATAAAAAACTACAATTGGACTCTATTATTCCTCCTAATTGACATTGTTGGCTGAAACGTCCGCCGCTTTTCATAATCCCATTTGTGACCCGAGCATCCACTGCCCTCCCAAATCATAGTGGTCGCTAAAACATTCAGCACAAATGCCAAAGGTATCCCAAAATGTACCCCATTTTACCCCTACCCCCTAATCTGTGACCATAAATGGGGCAATTCATTAAAGTGGGGCACCACTTCATTGAATTGCCCCATTTAAGCCCACACATTAGGGGGTGAGGTAAAAATGGGGTATATTTTGGGGTACCTCTAGCAAAATTCAACATTCAACTGCCCTTCCTAACCCAGCGTTGACCGAAACCAGCCGTAGCTAAACAACACGGCACATCCATACATGGCTCTGCATTTTTTAGAAGTGTAACAGGGCACATGTCACATTAGGGCATCCTCATCCTTGAGATGAAATTATTTTGAAATACTCGTACTATTTAGATAAAAATCTGGCATCAAATACTGAATCATAAATTCAAGATCAATTTCAAAATTCAATAAACACATCTAATGCAACCATGTCTTTTAATTTGAAATGACTAAAATATCACCTTGAAAATAACAAAAAAACTCTAGAATAAAAAAATGAATAATTGAGTAGCATGAGTGGATATGCTCTTAATGATCATTTTCTTTTAATTATTGCGAAGTGTAATTAAGCATAATAATACCACAATCAATGTATACTCTTGAGGACTTCAAAAGGCAATTCAACCATTTTTACCCCAAAAGTGAAACAATACACGTGCTACACAATCTCCCCGTATGATAATTATTATAGGTTGCAATTATTCTTCTGCCAGCACCAATCGATTAGGTAAAAAACACTCCTTAGATCGTTATCTTAATTGTATACACTTGCTATAGTGTTCATGTTCAAAATCACTATCGCACTATTTTTTTAACCCGATAGGCAAACCACCAAAATCGGTGGGGTAAACGTCAGTGAACGTTTACCGGTTATTATAAAAACATAAAGCAAAACGATACAAAGAAGAGGGGGGACAAAACCAAAACCTCTCCTGGGTGGCATAACACCCAAAAATAAATTAAAAACATCTAAAGGAAGGAAACCCAAATAAATCTCTAAAATAAGCTTATCGGGCCTGAATAGGAAGATCTTTGGGCTCTTTAAAATACTGGGTTTGGGCCAAAGATGAGAGAGCCAAAAAATGAGCAGCCCAGTTTCATTCACGCCAACACATGACCAAATCGAACCCATTTCCTTATTCCGTACAGTTGCATTTCTTGAAGCAGAGCTTTCCATCGACCATCTTCTACCTGAAGCAACAAAGAAAGAACAGCCGCAACGTCAGTTTCAAGATCAAAATCAGAGAAGGCAGCCTCCAACCCCCATCGAGTAGCCTTCACAACAGACCTGATCTCCCTTCTAAACTCGATGAGGCTTCAATCGGAAAAGAAATAGCCGCAACCAACTCACCATTTTGATTCCTCAAAATCGCTCCGCCCCCTGCTTTTCCAAGTAAATATGATGCATCTGTATTTAGCTTTAGATGTCGTTTAGGCTTGTTCCACTTAATGGCCTTAATATGAGTACCGGTGACCTTAAAGTTCTTAAGAATCAAATTTTCCTCAAATAAAACCTCACCAACAGACCGAACTTTGAGCTTGGAGAAATTCTTGATTTGAAATATGATATTATATGAAGAAGGTCTGGTATCCTGGTTCCCCCAAATTATTTTCGAATAATTTGTCTAAATAATCCAACTTATAATTCTAGGCATGTTGTGCTTAAAAATGTCAATAACCGTCTTGTACCCAACTCTAAGCCACCACTTCATGTATACACGTCGAATAGTACTACTAATATTCATCCTAGGTATTCCCAGAATACCCATAAAAATAGATCCAAATAGGTATTTTTGTATCAATCACTATCTCACTATTTTGTTATTATATGTTGTGTATATAAATATATGATAAATATAACATAGATATTTAGATATACATTCCATAACTGGGTGAACCCAAAGGTCACACCTAGAACAACTGTGAATTCACATCTCAGTTATCTCAAATCAACCTAAATGATTGTGCTCAAAGACGACTAAATAAGTACTCCATATAAAGTGTTTTTATTTTTGAATTCCTAAATTTCTAAATGATACTGCATGCTTCGTCACTGTTTTGAACATAACTTTCATGAATAATACTACGTATATGTTATAACTTAATTCTTTGTTCCATGCACTAAGGACTCTAGGCTTGCCTTCCGGGGGCGGTTAGCCACATATGATAGCTTGGGGTTCCTTGATGTGAGTAATGTTTGTCATTTTTGCAAGAGTGGTCCGGAAACGGTGCCACACCTATACTTTGAATGTGCATTTACAAGGAAGGTATGGAACATGGTGAGAGATTGGCTTGGACTTTCAAGGAGGATGACTACACTTTTTAGTGCAACCAAATAGATTAAGAAGGAGCACAATGGAGCACATGCCAAGGCTAAAGGAGTGCGACTTGCTTTTTTTGCTACACCATCTATTGGATATGGCGTATGAGGAACATGATATGTTTTGAGAAAACCAAGACTACGGTGGAAGACATGGCCAAGAATATTAAGTTTATGGTGTATAAAGTACTCTACTCTATGTATCCGTTTAAAAGGATAACATTCTAAGTTTTTGCTGTTTCGTCACCGGTTTTTGTGATGGCTAGCATGTATATGTAGCTAGATGAGTTTTTGTGGTGACAGGGTATCCCCTATTGGGATGACCCGCATATATATATATCCAAAGTGTTTATGTACATCTGTACAATGGCAAAAGCAACATATGCGGGTCATCCCAATAGGGGATACCCTATTGACAAATATCATACGGAATATATGCGTACATATCCCAGAATTCTTATTTGACCTTAATCATTTCGTGAGTTAGGATAAACATACCACTCTTAAGCTTGAAGCCTAAATTGTTGTTTGAGGAGAGACATCTCTCAAAACTCCAAATGTAGAAGATATCTATCCAAAACACGTGAATTTAATTAGTATTTTTGAAAGAAAAAAAAAGCAACCACTTCTATAGCAGACAATCAATCGATCGACTAATAGACTTTCCCCCCCAAAGATCGGCTAATAGACTTGTACATCATGAAAGTGAGAAATACTATCGTATTTATTTTACAATTAAATTGCAAATACACGTAGGTCATTGTTTATTTGGGAAAATAGTAGTAGTCAATATCCTTGACTCAAATCTCAACCCACCCATATACCTATGAGTGTATAGAACTTCTCTTGGTCCTAATCAATTCATATTCTGAGTTTTAAGGACAATATTGTCGTCCTTGGGTTCTCCACCATTTATACATATGAGTTTTGAGGACAGTGTTGTCGTCCTTGGGTCCTCCATCATTTATACATATGAGTTTTGAGGACGGTGTCGTTGTCCTTGGGTTCTCTACCATATGAGTTTTGAGGACAGTACCGTCACCATTGGGTTCTCCACCATTTATATACCGAGTTTTGAGGACAGTACTGTCGTCCTTGGGTTCTCCACCATCTTATGTTCATTCCTATGATCTACTTCTTATCATTCATAGATAGGGTCTATATCATAACCATTTATCAAGATTAAACCAAGTCTTATAGCCTAAGCACAACAATCCATGCAAAACCATGCACGAAAATCAACATACGGGCAAAACAGCACCAAACCAGTGTCGGTTCAGCCATAATCGGCGCCGGTTCATATTTAAATTAATTTATTTGGATGCCCTGTACTCAAACCGGCGCCGGTTAACTTTCTTCTTTGTGGTTAATGGTGTGTTGACCGCCCGAACCGACTCTGATTGATCCGGAACTTAACCCAAACATGAATTAAGTCTTAAACAATCAATATTTTCCATTTTGGCCATCCAAAACATCACATATGTTTTTAAATCATTTTCATATCATTTTTCATGCCATCCCATGAACTTCTCTATGAGACATTGTAATTTCCGATTGGTAATACGTGGAGGGCCTAAGGCTGGAGCAGGGCAGCAGGCGAGTCATCGGAGTAGGCCGGAGCTTGGCATGTGCATGACGCCGTCAACTCGGCCAACAATTCGGTTGGGCCGCCTGGCTGGGGAGAGTAGGCTTGCTGCTGGGTTGATGCAGGCGGCACAGCGAGACGCAAGTAGTGGAGGAAAGCAGGTGAGTTGAGTGGGGGGACTGCGATAAGCTGAGAAAAAGAGAAACAGAGAAGATGGCTCTGCAACTTGCAGACTGCGAGATTGATTACGAAGGATTGATTACTCTGGCAAGCTGATTCTCTTGGCTGTAAACCCATCTTCTCTGTTTCTTTGTTCTGGTATGAGGTAAGATCTATCATTCATATTTCATAAGCTCTAGGATACCAAAGACAACAAAGAAGGCATATGATTTTTGCTTATCAATACATATCAAGTCTTTATTATGATTTTTCTTTGATTTGCAGGTCATATACAATTTGCATATAATTAGATGCAATGAATGCAATGTTGAGGATTTTGCCAACAGTATGTTTCAAGTACTATTAATATGAAGGATTAGTTAATCTAATATTTAATCGATTGCCATAATGTTCATTTGCATAGCATAAGATATACATAGTAATTGATTATCTTTTAATGTGGTGTTATCATTTCTATTGATTCTAGCATGACTTTTACTGGCATATGATTTTTAGGTGTCTTTTTTGGTCTTTTTATATGACTTTTAATGCTGATCAAAACTTTATTAGGTCTTTCTTGAACTTATCAATTTATTCGTTAGGGTTTTCCCCCTTATTTTCTTTAATTGCATAATGTCATTCAAGAGAGTTGGATGATTTAGACGTCTTAATGGCAATGTAGTGTTTGTTAAGTGTTATTTTCTCAATCACACATGTATTGATTTAGACGAGCTTTAACTGAACTATTTCTAAATATAACTTCTTACACAATTTTTTATCACATATTACATTTATTATTCTTTAATACATTTAAACATTCAACTTATATATATAATTCTTTCACTAATAATGTTCACAAATAATTAAAGATAATAGATGCTTAATTTTTATCCATGCATCGCACGGGTGAGAATCTAGTAATAATAATAATAAAATATTGATTATTTATCTAATAAAATAAAGTATTCATATTATCCATTAGTAAGAGGTTCCAATAATATACTAATATATATTATTTCTTATCCAAATACTATTCATTTTGACCAAAAATGATGTTTATGATCCAAATTTTTTATTCATTAGTATCGACTATTATTTCCAATTTCTAGATCATAAAAATATTAAGTTCTTGTGAGCATACATACGATTTTTATGCTACATTATATATGATAGATAGTTTATACCGAGATACCGCTAGTGGTATATAGAGAGAAGCCAGAGCAATAAGTAAGAGAGGAGTGTGGTAGTATTAAATGTCCAACGGTCCATTACAACTGCCAAAGGGGGCGCTATTTATCCTAGTCATAAATGTTGGGTGCATTAAATGCACATACATGTGTAATCTAATCTATGGCGGAGCCCCCCCCCCCCCCTTATGGTGCGGACGCTGGCACATGTCGTAGCATTAAATGCGGTTGTTGGGCGATGTGAAGCGCTGAGCAGAGGGAGCTGTCTGTATGTTGCCTGAGGCCTTCGGCCTCGGTGCCGAGGGCTACTGACCGAGGGGTTACTGAAGAAGATGAAAGTTCCAGGCATTTCGATAGCCGGAATCGGGGTGATTCACTGAGTCTGACGCCTTTGGCCATAAGGCCGGAGGGGGTTCATCCTGGGTGATGGTCTATTTCGTACTTAGCTTACTGTATTAGGGCCGCCTGAGCTTGCTGGGCAGGTTTTGCTGTAGTGGGAGTGTGTGGGCCGGGGGTCCATGGCTATATACTCCATCAGGAGTCTCCCACTCCCTTTGTCGAGAGCTTGTCGAGGGAAAGGGGAGCAATTTATCGGATTTTCCAAAGGCTGTCATGTCACAGTTTGCTTGTTAAGAACGTTTTATGATTTTTTATTTTGGCCGAGGGGAGTCCCCTAGTCCCTCACTTCTTTAGGGTGAAGGTTGTTCGAACTAAAGGTAGGGGTTCTGTATAGGTGACTCCCTTTGGATGATGATCTCTCGCGTCGTGGTTCATGTTTTGTCGGTGGACAATCCCTTGAGGGTGTCACATTCTGCAAGATGACTGTTCGAACGTTACCGTTGTAGTGGGCTACACGTGTCGTGTGTTGATAGGCGTTCATTGGACAACGTCTCTTGATTGGGCTGAAGCGACTATTCATTATGATGGGCCCTTAACCAGAGGCCCGGGTTCAGGATTAACCCTGGTCGGGTTGGCTATAAATACCTTTTCCCAATCTCACTTCTCTTGCCTGTTTTTGTATTGTGAAGCGAAGCTCTGCCAAAATTTAGAGAGAGAAACACCTAACCGATCAAAAACATGTTCCTGAGGCCAGTTGTTGCCTCTTTCCATATATTTTGCTTCATAAGTCGTAGATCTAGTGTTAATCTTTCTAGTTATCGCCCTTAGTCGTTCCCCCCTCGATAGTGTAGCCGATAGTATGTCTTCCGAGAGAGATTCCCAAAACATCTCCAAGTCGCCATCGGCCCAGTCAGAGACATGGATGGAGGAAAGGTCTTCGAGCCATCAACCATCGTTGCAGGGGGGCTTACAATTGGCAAAAGAGGTCGAGAGCTGCCTCAGAACAGAAGCGGAAGCGGAAGACTTCGAGCAGCAAATGAAGGACGAGGAGATGGTCGTAGCCGTCCAGGTGGCTGAAGTGGAGGATGAGAAGGAGCACCTCCAGGTTACAGATGCTACCCATGCTGAAGGTTGCGAGGAAGCCGGCACTTCCGAGCCACCCTGTCCCAGCCACCTTCGGTCTGCACCAGTAAAGAAGATCTGAGGAAGAGGGCCTCCAAT